GCACCAGCCTACTCTGTTCCCCCTGGCATTAGATGGAATCTCATTTCTTATTTATTTTTCAGGTCTGAGATCTAGACTTGAACTCAGCACCTGCTGCTTTCACTCATTGGCTAGTGCTCTACCAACAGAGCTGCTCCTCTAACCCTCCGATCTCTTAAAGACACAAAAAGAATCTCTGCAAGAAGAGAAAGGAAGCTGGGCGCTGGTGGCTCACCCCCGTCATCCTAGCTACTCAGGAGGCTGAGATCTGAGGATCGTGGTTCAAAGCCAGCCTGGGCAGGAAAGTTCGTGAGACTCTTATCTCCAATAAACCACCAGAATACTGGAAGTGGTGCTGTGGCTCAAGTGGTAGAGCACTTGTCTTAAGCTGAAGAGCTGAGGGACAGGGCCCAGGCCCAGAGTTCAAGCCCCATGACCAGAAAACAAAAGAAAAAGGAAAAAAAAAGCCTTTGCTGGCCGTCCGCCTTCCTTGTCTCTGGTACCTCACTGTCCTTAGTACCCTTCATCCTCCAGCCGGAGATACCCCACAAGGGCAGCCCCCCGCCCCCCGCACCCCAGTCCGTCTGGGAGGCTACCCCTGCTGACTTGTGGCTGCAGGGAGGTGGGAAAGGGGGTTTTGTCTTTTCTCTCTGAGGGTCCCCTGAGGGTCTGGTCTAATGCTTCCTCAGAAATACTGTAACCTTGTTTCCTCTTTCTCTTCCTCCTCTGTGGAGAAGTTACAAGCGTTTTGTAGTCTTGTTTTGCTTGATGCCAGTCTTGAGGCTTGTACTCGGGGCCCGGGCACGGTCCCTGAGCTTTTATCATTCAACACTAGCCCTCTACCACTTGTAACCCAGCTCCATTTCTGGCTTTTCTGGGTCCTGAATTGGAGATAAGAGTCTCATGGACTTTCCTGCCCTGCCTGGCTGTGAACTGGGCTGGCTTCCAACTGTGATCCTCAGACCTCCGCCTCCTGAGTAGCTAGGACGACAGGCGTGAGCCACTGGCATCTGCCATGGGTGGGTTTTCAATGCTGTTTCCCCAGTTCTAGCTCTGTACCACCTTCTTGTCCCCTCCGCTCCAAAACGCTGGTGTGACTCATCTGAGAGATCAGGTGGCAAACCAGGCCTGGCATTTCCTGCCGCCTTGGCCTTGCCCGGCCTCTGCCCCTGGGTCTGTCACAGCTTGTGTCCCTCTGGTCCCTGGTCAGCTCCGCAGGTGGGCTGCCCGCGCCCAGCAATCACCTTGCACTTCCGTGTCCTTCCTAGCCTGGGTCCACGTCCAATGGCTTCTTCACGCTCTGTTCTAGAATTAGCCCTGACGCGGGCGGGACTAGGCTGTTTGGCTCACGGCTGTGCCCCTGGCAATGCTGTTGGGGGGCTCAAATAGGCAACTCCGCTCCAGCCTGGCCGCTCTGGGTGCTTGTGCTGGGTGGTTATGCACGTGGCTCTCACCCTCTGCCTTTAGGGTGTCCACACCCCACAACCTTGCCGGTTGGCATGGGGAACAGTGGAGAGAACCCTTTGGGGCCTAAGCTGTCTAGATGCACCGCCCATGCGAGTCTAAAGGCACCACGGGCCTTCTCGGACAATCCCACACAGTTTATAACGCTCACCCAGGAGCCCAGCGCTCAGGTGCATTCACTCACAAGCAAAGCCATTCATTCACCTCCCACTTCTTTCAGGCCAGACTCGTTACCATAATTCCAGGTGAGGGTGTGCCCCTTGCTTTCTCTCAGTCTAATTCCTCCAAAGTGAGGGAAATGACTGCCAGATCCCAGAAAACCAGAGGTTGTAATGAAGTGTGTGTGCACACACGCACGTGTGTCTGTGAGTACCAGTGCCAGTACTGGGGCTTGAACTCAGGGCCTGCACACTGTGCTTTAGCTTTTTCTGTCAAGGTGAATGCTCTACCACTTGAACCATACCTCCACTTCCAGCTATTTTGCTAGTTGATGGAAGATGACAGTCTCAGAGGCTGGCTTCTAATCAAGATCCTCAGATCTCTGCCTCAAGAGTAGCTAGGATTACAGGCATATGCCACCAGCTAGGAAGATAATATATACTAGGCATGATCTTTCTCTAGATAAATGATGATAAAAGTGTTTTAAAATTAGATTATGGTGGTCAGGTGAGGGTGGCTCACGCCTGTAATCCTAGCTACTCCAGAAGCTGAGATCTGAGGATCACCGTTCCAAGCCCACCTTGGGGCAGGAAAGTCTACGGAACTCTTACCTCCAATTAACCACCCAAAAGCCAGAAGTGGAATTAAGGCTCAAATGGTGGAGTGCCAGCCTTGAGCACAAAAGCTAAGGGATGACGCCCAGACCTAGAGTTCAAGCCTCAATACTGAAGAAAATCTCCATTGGTAGGGGCAGCTCTCCCTTCCTGTGCCGGTAGGGAAGGGGCCCACACACGCATGTGCGCGCGCACACACACACACACACACACACACACACACACACACACACACACAGCACCACAAACCTGCCCACCCGAGTTTTCCTTGCTCCCCTCCATCACCTGGCTCTCTTCAGCAAGTTCTTCATGTTTTATTTGAAAACCTTAAAGAAAGTTGAGTTTTAAGCCACCTCCTCTGAGATGTCCTCATTTCCCCAGAAGCTCTCATGTATGTATGAAATACGTGTGTACGTAGACTCTTGCAAACTGTGCTGGCTGAGGAAAAGCAGGGTTTGGGGCTCACCCTCTAGGTGAGTAGACTTTGTCTTCCCTGTCTTTGAGGGATTTCCAGCTCCACCCAGCTAGACACAGATTATCTCCTCACTCTGATTTCCCCCCTCCCTGCAGGAAAACCAGTTTTGCCCTAATTTACGAGTCATTCGATTCTGGCTCTAAATTAATTTGTGTTCCTACAATTCTCTCTTGCATGGGTCAGTCCATGCGTTGATTCTTCCTGAAGCAGAATAAACTCTTCTAATATGTCATGTTTCATATCTATACAACAGTCACCTTATTTCTTTTACTGCCTTTTACTGAAAATGACCTTTGCACAGTTCCAATCTACATAGGAGTTCTTGCACACCCTGCTGGCTGGTTTATAAGGAAAGTCAGGAGGTTGAATGTAAAGAGCAGAAAAAAATAAAAATAAAAGAGTAGGTCTTGCCAAAACGCAGGCGTTGTGTTGATGTCTGAAAGTCAGATTTCCCTGAAAACATGTTTCTCAAGCCCAGACACCACAGCCCTGGGCAGGAACCTGAGAAGCAGGAAATGGCCCACGCATTATCCCGCCCCACGAGTTGGCCTCCAGATCCGCAGGTTCAACCCATCCCTACGGTTCTGAAAGGCACAGAACAGATTAGCACCAGGAGCTCTGAAGAAAGACACTCTATTCCAACCAAGGCTGGGGTAAGAAAATGCCTTCCCATTGGGCCTGCCGTTTACCTAGCTCTGCAAGCAATCGGCAGAGGCTATAGGAAGAAAGTTGGGCGTGGGGTGTGCATAGGAAAGAACAGTCAGGGTAAAGGACTAGTTAGGGTAAAAAAAAAATGTTTTGAATAGATGCCATCCTATGAGAGAGGAAGAGGGGGTCCGCTGGGCACCCCCACTCCGTCATGTACAATGAATTTGTCTGTGTCAATCTCAGTTTTCTCTGGGCCACATTTTTTTTTTCTCTTTTGGTGCCAGTACTGGGGCTTAAACTCAGGGCCTGGATGCTGTTTCTTCACTTTGTCCCTCAAGGCTGGTGCTCTACCACTTGAGCCAGTTTTTCTTTTTTTTGTGGGGGAGGGGATTGCTGGTTACTTGAAGATAAGAGTCTCATCGACTCTCCTATCTGGGCTGGCTTTGAACTGTGATCCGCAGATCTCAGCCTCCCTCAGTAGCTAGGGTGGCAGGTGTGAGCCACGGCTGCCTAGCTTGTACCACATTCTTAACTTCTTTCCAACCCTTCTCAGGGAAGTGTTCTGAGCAGTCTGCATGACCTGGCAGAAGGCCAAAGGCTTTAGGGAAATAAATGCAGCTGTGCTTAGAAGAAACCCAGAGCACTGAACCCAGACCCTTGAACTTCTCAGGCCCCACCCTTCCAAACCACACCTACCCCCACCAGGCTCCCTGGAAACACCTGTCCAGCTCAACACCTGAAGTCAGTGCTTCCCATCTTAATACCCCACATACTTTATGGAGACTACCTGTCTGACTTTTCTAAGTTTTTCTGAAACCTAGAAAACTGGGCCTGCTTTGATTACTCTGGGTGGTACATTTTCCCAAGAGTTATCTGGTATTTTGTTTTGTTTTCTCTCTCCTTTTCTTTTCTTTCTTTCCTTCAATCAAAACAGAGTTAGTGGTTGCTAAAGGCGCTGCTGGCGATGGGTGAGGATGAGCTCTCTGGGCTAGTACCATCGCGACCCCCTCCCCAGACCAGTGGGGGTGCACTCTGGGATCCTGAGCAATCACTGGTTCACAGAGGCTGTACCCTCAACTCCTAACTGAGGGTGACACTCATGCCCAGGAGCGATTCATGAGCGCCTTAAAGTGCAGCCTGGAGAACCAGGCTGGCAGCAAGCAGCAGATGTGGTGGTCAGCATTTTGGACACACAGCAAAGCTTGAAAGACAGGAGTGACACCACTCCTATCCCAAGACAGTCCGTGTGATGATCATCCAGCATCCACACCACAACCACACTTGCTGATGAAGCCAGAAGACTAAGTGCCCTGACACAGAACCTTCGCTCAGGCTGTGGGGCTGAGCTCCTGGATTCCACATCGGAGATGGCTTCAGAGACAAAGAAGGAAGGTGAACTTGTTTGAACAAAGGAGTTCCTCTTCCTTCAAGCCACGCCAGCCTTGAAGCCTTCATAAAGCAGCCGGACGGCAACTTCCCTCCATTCCCTAGCAAGGGACCGGCTAGACTTGGCCTTGTGTGGTGTTTACCAGGTACCCAAGTGGCTCATTGTTAGGATAAAGGGTTGGCACCGTGGCCCAGCCGGGGGCCTGAGCTGAGGCCTTGGCTGCCTCATCAAGCCTCAGGACTGAGACATTTCCTTTAGAACCCAGCCCTGCACCATGAGATCTTGTCTTCTGGGCCCCCGGGCGCTGTGGTACCTGCTTTTGGTGGTGTTGGTCTTCTTGGTCTTCGCCCTCCCTTCCTTTATCAAAGAACCTGACACAAAGCCTTCCAGGTAAGAGGCACACCCTTCCCACGTTTCACTCTTTTTCAAGTTGAAGACAGCGGAAGTGTGTGGTGCGGGGTGCCGTCCGTCCACGCGCACCCTGTGGACAATGCAGACAAGGACGGGTAGAAAACGTGGGGAGGTGGAAGAGGCTGCAGCCACAGAGGAACCCAGGCAGGCGGTGAGAAGCGATGGGCGGAGGGTGGTGGTTTCCTCATGGACTGAGTGATTAGAGCCTGGGAGTTTGTTCTTCCTGGATACCTGTGGTGAGGGTGGGGGTGGCCTTCTAGGTGTTCCAAGGTCATTCTCACCCTGCAAGGTCGGTGAGTACAATGGAAGGCCTCCCTCCCATGGAGGCTGAGGCTCTGTGCCCCAAGGATTTTTGGCCAGTCCTGGGGCTTGAACTCGGGGCCTGGACACTGTCTTCAAGCTTTTTCACTCAAGGCTAGCACTCTACCCCTTGACCCACAGCTCTACTTCTGGCCTTTGTGGGGTTCATTAGAGATAAGAGCCTCATAGACTTTTCTAGTTGGGCTGGCTTTGAACTGCAATCCTCAGATAGTCTCCTGAGTAGCTAGGATTACAGGCTTGAGCCACCAGCGCCTGACTGCATGGATTTTTAGAATGTATTTTGATCATATTCACTTATAAGGTAACTTTTTTTTTTTTTTTTGCCAGTCCTGGAGCTTGAGCTCATGGCCTGGGCATTGTCCTTGAGCTTCATTTGCTCAAGGCTAGCACTCTACCACTTGAGCCACAGCACCACTTCAGGCTTTTTCTGTGTGTGTGGTACTGAGGAATCGAACCCAGGGCTTCATGCATGCTAGGCAAGCACTCTACCACTGAGCCACCTTCCCAGCCCTCCGACTCCCTTCTTTGTAATTGCTTTGTAGTGTTTTGCAGAACATTGAATCAGCCAGTCCCTATGGCACCTGGAGACGGGCAGTTGGGGGGGGGGCACTTGGTTGTACTCAATGTTGATGGATACCATTGAGCTGATCTCTGCAGTCTAGTCCCAGAGGATGGGAGGCTCAGGTGTTCCCCCTCCTAGAACAGCACTGACATTTGTGTTTTCAAGGTTTAGTCATCCGATAGCTGCAAGCATCTTTCTTTCTTTCCTTTTTTTTTTTTTTTTTTTTGTTGGTTGTGGGGCCTGAACCCTGGTTCTGGGCGCTGTCCCTCAGCTCTTCTGCTCAAGGCAAGCGCTCTGCCTTGAGCCACAGCACCACTTCAGCTTATGTGGTGGTGAGGAATGGAACCCAGGGCCTCAGGCATGCAAGGCAAGCGCTCTACCCCTGAGCCACCTTCCCGGCCCCAGCATGTTTCTTTATAATTTTCATTTTTCAGGCCACTGGCAAATTTAGCGATCTTCTTAGGTTTATTAACCATTTATATTTTTCTGTGAATGACTTTTTGTTTGTTTCTACATTGGATTACTCATCTCTTCCCTAGGTGTAGATTTTTAAGTATTAATACTAACCTTGTTCTGTCATATGTGTTGCGATGCTTCCGATAGTTTCTCAAGCTAGTATGGTGGAACAGGCCTGTAATCCTACAGCTTGAGAATGAGGCAGAAGGACTTAAAGTCAAGGCTAACTTGAGTTACATCCTGAGATACGCTCTTTAAACATGCACACACACACACACACACACACACACACACACACAACCAAGCCAGGTGCTTATGCCTATAAGCTTAATACTCAGGTGGCTGAAATCTGGAGACCATGGTTCAAAGCCAGCCCAGGCAGGAAAGTCTGTAGGACTCTTATTTCTAATTAACTACCAAAAAGCTGGAAGTAGAGGTGTGGCTCAAGTGGTACAGTGCTAACCTTAGCAAAAATGCTCAGGGACAGCACTGGGACCCTGAGTTCAAACGGCAGGACAGGTAGAGGAGGAGGAAAGGAGCGGGAGGAGCAGGAGGAGGAGGGAGGGAGGAGAGCTAATTCCAAGCTGAGGCTGGGTATGAACTCACTGTGGGGTAGCAGCATTTGTGGAACGCCCGAGGGCAGCGTATGGCACAGCAGGCAGGGGCCCTGCAAACTGAGAACGCAGCGGCGCCGGTGGGAAACGTCACTGTGTGCACAGTGCTGTGAGACACGGGATGCTCGAGGGACCCCACGCTGACCTGGGGGTCACACACACGGTGCCAAGGTCTGGGCTCAAAACCTCAGCATGACTGACTGTACAGACCTCTAGGGAGATAGATTGTCACCGATGGCGGCTGCAGAGCTGGAGGACGGGAGGACATCACCTGCCCACTCTGAGGGAAGAGACAGGACCACCCCCAAACCGCTTGCAACACGGGCTCTTCCCATCATGCCTCTGTGCATAGAACATCCCGGAAGCACCGTCTAAAGACAGAAAAGAGGAGCAAAGCCTAGTCCCAGAAAATCCTAGTCCATTCCTGGGACTCCCCGTCTCCCCTGAGCCCCACACCCTCATCCAGGATAACTCCCCTCCATTAAACTTTGCCCTAGGACAAGCCACCCCAAATCTCAGCCAGGTGCGTCCATTTTTACATTCTTTAAAAATATTCTTTTTTAACCAGATGCTGATGGCTCCCACCTGCAATCCTAGCTGTTCAAGAGGCTGAGCTGTGAGGGTTGTAGTTCAAAGCTAGCGTAGGCAGGAAAGTCTATGAGACTCTTATCTCCAGTTCACCACCAGAACGCTGGCCGTGGTGCTGTGTAGCCCCAGAGATAGAGCAGTGGAGTGCTAGCCTTGAGCTGAAAGAGCTCAGGGACAGCACCCGGGCTTTGTGTGCGAGTCCCGGGAGAGGCAGGACTTGAGCCCAGAGCCTCACACCTGTTAAGCAGGTGCTCTCTCACTGAGCCAGGCCTCCAACCTATTGTTTAACTGGTTATTTTTGAGATAGGGCTTTGACTCCTTCCTGAGTACACACCCGGACTGGAATCCTCCTATTTTTCATTCCTGCTCTAGCTGGACTGACAGGTGTGAGACACCACACCTAGCTTTTTTCATGGAGATGGAGTCTTGTAGACTTTCCTGCCTGGGCTGGCTGGGAACCACAACCCTTCCATTCTTAGCCTTCCACAGGGCTACTATTACACTTGAGAGCCATTAGTACCCATCGGGGGGAAAGTCCTTTTTTGAATGTCACAAATTAAGTTTCCAAACTACACGTCCTTGGCACACTCCCAGTTAAGCAATATTCGGTTACACTTGGGGCTTTGTGTGTTTGCCCTACTTTAGAACTATTTTTAGCTTTTAATAAAACTATCACAGCCGGGCGCTGGTGGCTCACGCCTGTAATCCTAGCTACTCAGGAGGCTGAGATCTGAGGATTGCGGTTCAAAGCCAGCCCGGGCAGGAGAGACCATGAGACTCCTATCTCCAATAAACTACCAGAAAACCGGAAGTGGCGCTGTAGCTCAAGTGGTAGAGCGCTGGCCTTGAGCTGAAGAGCTGAGGGACAGCGCCCAGGCCCAGAGTTCAAGCCCCATGACCGACAAAAAAAAAAAAAAAAACTATCACAAACATTTTGGACATATTTAACTAGGAAAAAAAACCAAACCCCCATCATTGAGAAAGCATAAACTACTCCTGACCTTCCCATCTTTCCTTCCAACCCAGCGCTGTCCACCATGTCCTTTCCTGGTCTTCAGGGGTGTGGAGAGGTGCTTCATCTTGGTGATTCCCTGGTGTTGCCCGTCAACCGTCACAGCGGTTCTGAACCCCTGGTTTCAAATAAGCTGCGTCTCCTGCCCTGTGCTCAACTTTTCAACCTCAGTGGTGCAGCGACCACATGAAGTGTCGCTTACCATGACTGGGAAGCCAGCCTTCTCGCCTTACTCACCTCTGGCACAGGAACTCCCAGAGGAGCTGTGTTATATGGCAGGAACAACGCTACACAGTTGCCCAGCCTACCTTGGTACAGCATGAGGGGGTGTCTGTGTGTGTGTCTGTGTGTGTGTCTCTGTGTGTGTGGTTGCTGCTGCTGCTGACACAGTCTCACTCTTTAGCCCAAACCTACCTTGAACTCTTAATTTTCCCACCTTCACCTCCCCAGTGCCGGGATTACAGGCATGTACCACCACACTTGTTACAGAAAGTTCTTTTCCTGGGTTGTTTTTTTTTCTGTAATGGGTCGGGGAGGACGCTGAACTCAGAGCCCTGGGCTTGCTAGGCAAGTCCTATTCCAACTGAGCCACACACCCCCCAACCCATCTTGCTTTCACTGCTTTTCAAACCATCTTACTTTTGAGCCCTAGTCAGCTGAACTACAATCCTCCTATTTACCCTTTTGCCCCATGGAGGATGCTCAGCATACAGGACAGTGCCCAGGCTGACCCCAGAACTTGACCTTCCCAGTCTCTACTTCCTGAGTAGGTAGGATTACAAGTGTGAGTCACCAAGCTCCCTGCCAATTGTTGTTGTTGTGGGGCTTGAACTCTGGGCCTGGGCGCTGTCCCTCAGCTCTTCAGCTTAAGGCGAGCGCTCTACCACCTTGAGCCACAGCACCACTTCTGGGTTTTCTGGCGGTTCATTGGAGATGAACAGCCTTTCCTGTCTGGGCTGGCTTTGAACCATGATCCTCAGAACTCAGCCTCCTGAATAGCTAGGATGACTAATAATGTGCCATTGCTTAATTTAGAACATTTTCTTACTTGTGTTGTGGGGGCCAGTTCTCTGAACAAATTTGTTGGGTTTTTGTTTTTGTTTTTGTTTGGTGGTTTTGTGCCAGTTCTGGGGCTTGAACTCAGGGCCCGGGTGCTGTCTCTGAGCTTCTTTTGCTCAAGTACCCTAGCACTTGAGCCGCAGTACCACTTCTGGCTTTTTTTGGTGGTTAATTGGAGATAAGAGTCTCAAGGATTTCCTTGCCCAGGCTGGCTTTGAATTGTGATCCTTGGCTCTCAGCCTCCTGAGCCACCTGGCTCATAGCAATGGGTTTCAGGGGAGTTGACAGGTGATTCTCAAGCAGGGGCTTCAGGTAACAGGGAAGCAGCTCAGAGGATACCTGTCGCCTTGCTATGCCTTGACAGGGC